TTTAATATATTATTAAACATTTATGTTGGTTTCTGGCTTTGGCAAATACAGCTTTATAAATATTCTTAATTATTTCTATTTATATTTTTGGTGAAAGTATACCCTTTTTTTTGTTGGATATCTTCCACATAGTAGGGCTCTTGGCTCTTGAGTATATAGTGTCTTTTTTTCCCCAAAGTGTCTGTACCACTTTACAGTTTTCAGATAGTGCATAAGAAACTCTTTGGTGTTTCATATCATTAGGATTAAGCCTTTTCTTTTTTTTCTTTTTTAACTTTACCTATTGTTGGGGAAGGAAAGAGATCTAAGACTTGCTGAGGCATTGTGACCAGTAATCTTGATTGTGTCCAGTTGATTTGGCTTGGGAGCTGCCAGGGGAGCAGTTCGGCAAGAAGTTGGGTGCAGCTGGTGCATCTCGGAGGCCTGGCCTTGGGCCTCGTTCTGGCCCCTCACCCTCTTCTCTGGAGCTGTCCCACTGTTCCTGCTTTGCTTCCTGGCCCCATGAACTCAGCGAGTATCTTGTCCTTCCACTAGGATGCCTGTCTTAGAGCCGGCTTACCATGGACTGAATCCCTTAAAACTGTGAGCCGATCCCCTCCTCCCTTAAAATGTAGTTGATTAATGCAAAGCGTATTGTAGTTTTAATTTGCAATCTCCATTTGTTTATTTTCTATAGGTATATTTACAGTTATTGTGCCTTCATTAATCATAGTATCTCTAACTATATACATCAAGTTTATTAATTTTAACCTAAATCATGCCATCTTTGTTATTAAGATTGCAAAATAAGAATTTAGATGAATCTTGTCTTTTATTGTTTTTCTTCCCAGCCTTTTATTTATAATCCTTGGATATCATTTTGTGGAATGTGCAAGTACTACAGTAAACACATTAATTAATTTTAATAATTTAGTAAAACATGGCTATTTAAATATTACTACTATGAATGCTGTGCTTTAATTTTTCTTCCATTTATGGCATCATGTCATTGACTTTACATCATTAATTTTTCTGTCATTTACCTTTTCTGTATTTCTTTAATGAAGTTGTCATTTTTCCACTTATTATTTTTGAAAATACACCATTCCTTCCATTCAAATGTTCTACTTTCAGTTATTCTGCTATTTTTCCTACCATAAATGAGGTAAAGTGATAAAAAAGCTGTGAGCTCACTCTAATGAAGCTTTTTTCTGCAAGTATTTCAGACAGTTGCTAGGTGGTTTTCAGGGACAAATAGATTCCAGTGTACTTTGACTTATCTGGAATGTGCTCATTCTTTCTCCATCCCACCTTGGAGTGCACTTTTGAGATCCTCATGGTGGTTGCTTAGTGTGACATCCGTTTTCTTCTGTGAGTTCTGCTCCATCATTCTCTGTGGTGCTTTAGGTGCCCATGGAGAGTCGCCTCACCAACACTCTGGAAGGTTCCAGATCACATGAAAGCATCAAGAATCACAGTGGAAATTGAGTGTCCCCTGCAAGGACACTTACACTGCTGCCATTAGCTGTTCTGTTGACAACTGATTAACCGCATTGGGGAGCAGGAAGGCACGGAAGTGGAGGCTCGCCCTGAGGACTGGCCCTGCTGGCTGTTATTAATAAGCAAGAAAGATCCTACTGGCTAATTACCAGCATTTTTCTCCAAAAAGAAAACCCAAGATATACTTCTATGGTACCCCTCCAACATAGTTTCTTTTCTATTATTGCCTATCAGAAGTTCTCAAGAACTCATTCACAGTTCTCTGCATTGCTCTGTCTCACTTTTGGTTGAGAACTTGATAATTTTCTTTAATTCTCTGGTGCCCACCATCCTCCAGACTGCGCCAGCTGCTATGTTTCACTTAAGGTTCAATGCTTCTGTTTTTGGTAAGTGAGATGTCTCACTGGCACTGTGTCTAATGCTGAGATCCTACTTTTAGGTGTGTTTCTCTCAAGCACCTAAGCCTATCCATGTGCATGTTGGGTATGGCAGTTTCTAGGTGCCTTCAGCTGTCCCTTTCCAATGAGATATGCACCACTTCTTCAATTTACTCTGCTTAACTTTTCTTAGGAACCAGGAAATGCTCTGAAGAAACATTCATCAGATGCTCATCAGTATTCCCTGACATTTAAATATGTTTGTCCATATCTGTTGTAGCAGAGCCTGGGCAGGGTAAGGCCCTTTCAATACTAAGGGGGAATGAAATTGATGGATAAGGACAGCGGAAGTCTACACTTGCTCTAAATCAGTGCTGGCTTCCAACTTCTTATTTTTCTCAGTCAATTGTGGGTGATCTGCAACTGATGATGATTCAGCTAAGAATTTGGACCCTACAATAGTGCCAAATGGATGTAAATTTGGTAAAAATCTTACTTCAGCTTGTGAATTTTGATGTTTCCCTGGACAGTGACATGCATTATGATACTCTCCCCATATTCTAGACAAAGCTTCCAAACACATCTCCCAGTGGACCCAAGATAGTGAGGGGAGACCACTAATACTGCACAACAGGTCCCAGTATGTTACACGAGAATTTCTCCACTTCATTACCAAACAGGCTCCTTGTAAGATGACTGTGAACTGCAGAATAAAGTGTGCTGAGCACATTTAAGCAGGCTACACTAAGTGAAGATGGCCCATACATTGGTGTGCTCAATGCATTTTTTATTTATAATATAGTCAGTGTATAATTTGGCATATCAGGATGTAACACCATTGTAAGTTGAAGGGTGACTGTATATTGAGGGATTATTTACATACAAGTAACAGAACCAATTCAAAAAGTGCAATTAGATTAATTTTGACAACTGTGTACACTCATAAATCCTTCATCACAATGAAAGGGTAGAACATTGCCATCAATCTCAAGATTCCACCTGCTTAATTTTGCCATCTTTATCCTTGTATCAGATAAACACTAATTTGTTCATTAGAGATTAATTTTCAAATCACATAAACGGACACAGACAGTGCATTCTCTTTGGTGCCTGGTTTCTTCCTGCAAAATGTTATGCCTCCCAGTGGTTCATCCTTTTAGCTGCTGTTAGCATTCAAGTGCATGGGTGTACAGGTTCATTTACTCACTCCGTTCATGATATCTACCATTCCCGACAAATGGAAGAAAGCTGCTATGAACTTTCATGCATAAGTAGTTGTACAGGAATAGATCTCCTTTAGCTTGGGTAAATATCTGGATTGCAACAGCTAGGTTATAACTAAGATGTGCATTTACCTTTGTAAGGAACTGTCAAAGAATTTTCCAGGGGTTAAACCATTTGACCTCCCCACCGGTTGGAATTACATCCAGCAAGTATGATAATCTGCCCTGCTCCACATCTTCTTCACAGGGAGATTATAGAAATTGGTTTATTCAGCGTTGATCATTATAAAATTACCAGCTGGGTATAAGTGGCTCCTCATTGTGACTTTGATTTGCATCATTCTCTTGAATAATGTTACGCATCTTGGGTGATGATTATTAGCTTTGGGTTCTTTTGCTTTTGTGAAATGTTTGGTGGTATTTAAATTTTTTCATTGAATTTGTATTATTATCTTTATATTATTGAATGGCATGGATTCTTTATGTATTCTGAATATGTGTCCACTGTTAGATACATAGTGTATGTTTTACCTGATTATATACATATTTATCCTGTTGTACAAATATTTTGTCCTATTCCATGTTTTGTTTTGTTTTGTTATTTATTTGAAGCATTTGAGGAATAATTTTGGTGACTTCTAATATGTGACTCTTACCCTTATGGTTCATGCCTTTTGTGTTTTACAATAAGAAGCTCTTTCTATTTCAAAATTTTTTAACTTTACCCACTATTAGGGGAAGGAAGGAAATACAGTAGTGTGACTGTTGATCTTCATTTTGTCTGCTTGATTATTATAATCTCCTGTATTATAGGAGATTTATAATTTTATATTTTTCATGTGGAACTATGACTCATTTCTAGGTCACTTTTTGTCTATAACGAGGATTACTTTGCTGTTCACTTTTCCATCTATAAATCAACCTGTTGCAACCCTATTGGTTGGAATAATTTTTTTCCTTTCCATTAAATTTCCTTGGCTTGTTAAAAACCAACTGGCCATATACACCCGGGTCTATTAGTGCATTCTTCATTTTGTTCCCTTGTTTATAATTTTATTCTCTTGATAACACCATAGTGTCTTTATTCCTAAAGTTTTATAGTAAGACTGCAATATTATAGTTCTTAAATGGTTTGAGGTTTACAGTGCTGTTGTAATTGCATCATTATTTTTATAAGTATATTAATTTAAATTATGTATGTATTATATATATATCACTTTTTCATCGATTTAGATTTTTCTCTAGACACTTTTATAATACATATACATTTTCAGAGTCCTGTATTTAAAGTCTAAAAGTATAAGTTTTCTGGGGGCCAAAGAGAAAGAAAATTTCTGTGAATTTGGGGCTGCAACAGTCTCTTATATGGAAGACAAATTGCGAATCCCAACAGGCCCTGGGGACAGCGCTGGT